GATATAAATTTGTATAACGCTTATTAGGCAAAGTTATGATTTTAGACTTTATAAAGTCTGAAAAGAATCTTGCTGACCCATAGACTAAGGGTCTATGCAGGAGTGTGGTTCTGGATTCATCGAGGGAGATGAGGTAAAGCCCATTGATGAGGTCACTGACAGCAGGAACCCAACATTGATTTGGAGACACAATCCCAATGTAGGTTCAATGTGGTAGAAACAAGCTGGACTAGTAACACTCGTGTGGAGCATCGACCTAGATATATTCATATATCATTATGGTAGCATCTGCTACTACCCTTTTTCTATGATGACGACGTTCTTATGATACAGCTAGTTAGGTTGAGTTTTACTCTTAATAAATCCAACACATGTATTGTGAAGGGTATGATATCCAGTTGTAGTACCCTTGGAGGACTTATCTACGTGAGAGAAATCGTGATGGCCACGGTTGGGAGGGCAGAGCTAACCCCTAGAAACTCTTATTAGTCGGTTATTGTGCGCATGACCTTTAACGCTCAACTCGTTTTACTTAATAGATGAAAATATATTGTGTATGATTTCATTAATATCTGATACAAGGGGCCTAATTCAAGGCCTAGTCCATTATGTCCCTCGGGTTGCTATGAACCCACTAAGAAAATGTTCAAAGCCGAAAGCTACTTCTCCCGAATTTACGATACGAAAGGTTGCTCAACCTATATTTATTTTGTGATTTATTGATTTATTTTATTTCCCGAGTTTTCAGTCAAACATTACCTTTTGGGGGGGCTGTTGGCTGTGTTGTGCACAGTAGAGGGAGAAAAGACATTTTGTCTTCAAACAATAGTCCCACATCGCCTAATTTAGTGTATGGGTGGGTGTTTAAATTGATTCTCTTCTCTTTACCCCTTGAGGGTCCCAAGGAGGGAGTGTTTTGGGCATTCAATTTGTTTGAGCTTTGATAACTCAAGCGCACGCTCGCTCGCCCACCTCGCCGCGCGCGCGCATGCCTCGTCGTGCCGCATGCACGCATGCCTTGCCACGCCTATCCGACTCATCATTTTCGAATTTTCGTTTTGATTTTTTTATTTTTTTCTTCCCTTTTATTTTTTGACTCGGCAATTAGCAACGGCTAGATCGTGTGCACGTTTTGGAGATCGTGCGCACGTTTTGAAGAACATGCGTTGAGGTTTGCGGGAAGTTCAAACGGCTACACGAATTTGGCGAACGTGGCTTGGATTCAGCGGGGAGTTTCAACAACTTAGGGTTTCTAAAACCCTATAAATACCGCCTCTAACTCACTTCGTAATACACAACAACGAAAAGAAAAGTTTCCCTCTTCTCTCTTCTGTCTTCTAAAAACCAAAAACTCTTCTCCCTTTCAAAATCTATGGTTTTTTTGGCAATCATCTTCATTTGAGAAAAAACTCTATACTCTCGTCCGAGTACAGAGGCTGGCTGCTTCCGGGGCTTTTACCGCTAGGGAGAGAGGATCGATTGTGCCAGAGCGATAGGCGGATCCTCGATCTTCTAAGACAGTGCTTTGCGCAACTACTACCCGTATCAGGCCAGTTTTTCTGTTTAATTATTTTTCGTATTTATATGCATGCTAATAAGATAAATTGTCAACAGATTCCAGCTTCAGGAATTCCAGCATGCAGCACAAACTGCTTAGCTACACCTTTCAAGTTCTTTCTTTTGTTTACCGGGGCATATTTTCTTCCATTGTGCTAGGTTTTATGTGGGATTGGTCAATCCTAGTTGGATAAGACCCCTTTCTATTTAATATTTAGCCAAAGGATGGAAATGCACTCTCCTCATCAATAAAGTATTTTCATCAAGTAGTTTCATCTACAAAGTATCCATTCAAACGAAGTTACAATTCCTAATTTTTTATATCTCACTGCTGCATAAGGATTCTGGTGAGTGCCGTCACCCTTATTGCATTATATCTACCTTGAATATCTTTCTGCACATGTTGGATAAGGCTTGTTCCTTATATCAGCAAGGAGAATATAAAGAATGTTGAGAAATAGGAAAAGGTCAAAAAGATCAAGTTATTATTCATCTCACCTTAACCTCTCTTATTTAGAAATTAGGAGGATATTATAAAATATGTATGATATAAAATCATATCCAATCACATCCCGAATATATCTTAATCATATATTCCTAATATATTATTCCTAATCTAATAGATCTCTATAATAACACTCCCTCTCAAGCTAGAGCATGTATAATATACATGTCAAGCTTGTTTACAAATAAAGCGCGCACGCTCCACCGATCAAATGATCCTTGGAGAATTCATCAACAAATTGTCCTTCCTTTTGGATCCAACAGTAAATGATCCTTCTTTGAAGGATCCAACAACAAATTTCTAGGATCTAAGAACAAGTGATCCTTTACAGGATCCAACAACAAATGATCATTTACAAGATCTAACAACAAATGATCCTTCTTTGAAGGATCTAACAACAAATGATTCTTTCTAGGATCCAACAACAAATAATCGTTTTCTAAAGGATCCAATAACAAATGATCCTTCTTTAAGGATCTGACAAACAAATGATCCAAAATGTGGAGTTGACTTTGAGCTCAAGTAAAGATCGACAAGGAGGCAAGTTCTATGATGAGGACTAGATCGAATCATCGAGATCTATGCAAGATCAATCATGAAAGGTGAGGATTTAAGGCATGAAGATGATCGACGGCTCATACGAATAGTAACTCGTGACTAGCAGTACTACGGATGAACAATAGCCCCAACAGCATCTGCAGTTAATTAGTAACTGTGAATGAACAATACCGATAACAGTACTTTCGCCACCAAATCTACGAAGTTCTAATAGATTAAGCTAAATGATTAGCTTGCTTAAGATCTACGAATATCTATTAGATTAAGCCAAATGATTAGCTAAAAAGACCAAGACTTGGGCCTGATGAACAGTGCTCTTGGGTGATCAGTACCTGCAGCGATGAACAATCGCTCGTGTGAACAGTATTACAAGAATGAACAGCATCATTGCTGATGAACAGTGCTGCGCCAATGAGAGAGTTGATGTAGTCGAGGTCGGTGTCGAAGCCGCCGACAGGAAAGCACGTAGTGCGGCAAAATCGCCTTGGCAGCCGCGAGATCGTGGAGGAGGAAGGTGGTTTCTCTAATTTCGATAACTTGGCACTGATACCATATTGAGAAATAAAAATGGGTCAAGAAGGTCAAGTAATTGTTCATCTAACCCTAGCCACTTTTAAATAGAGGTTAGGAGATGTTACAAAATAGGTATGATATAAAATCATATCCAATCACATCCTGAATATTTTTAAATTACATATTCCTAATATATTATTCCTAATCTAATCTAATAGATCTCTATAATATTCCTTAACAAAAAAAAAATGTTTATGAATATCCTATTATTGTTTGGTTAGATAATTATACGTTTCTGTGATTCCAGTCCCTTAAGAGATTCAATCCTGATAAACATTTAGCCAAATACAATAGAGCAGTTAAGATCTCAATTGTACTAAACCTAGAAAGCTGATAGCAACTATGAACAAAGAGGTGTTTGGTTTCCTGTACTAAGATATGCAAAATAGAGATGCAAATCAGTGCTCGCTGCCAATAAATTTATCATGAACACCTCATCATGGAGTTTATTGGCTTGGAACTATGATATATTTCGAAAAGGAAAAGCCTGGAATTCTAGAAAATCTAAAGGCATACTGAAATTGAACATTGAGAAGAAATAGGTGATTTGGCTATTTTAATTTATTTCAGAATCTGCCTACAGCTCTTTAATAGTCCTTTTAGGTTTTACATAATGGAAAGATAAAGAGACAAACCAACCAGACTTCAACTAGACCAAAAACTCTCTCTGAAAAGGTGGCTATTGTCCACATGAAAGTATATTGTTTGAGTAGTAACTGAGAAAACGATCTTCCTCATCTGATCTTATACATATTTGAGCTCGAAATAAATTAATAGTCTAAATAACTTTTATGTAGTCCTAAATGTTGAAGGATAAGAAAATATTGTAACTCGTAAAGCACTGATAAGATAACAACAATCATTTTGTTGAAGTGATTGGATAACAGCTTTGGTGTTATACTTTTTATGATGTTTATTGCTATATTCTTTACCTTAAGCTATAATTGATAGCCAGGATTCATGCAGTAGAAAATATACATGTCTACAGCTGTAGTTTGACACCTATAAGAATGAATAAGTATTGAGTTTTCTTTAATTGAGATTGTACCTCGTCATTTCTCACATGCTTCTTAAAGTGATTTTGATGCTAATAACTAGATACTGTGTGATCTGCATTGTCCATATCCTTAATGAACCTTGAGACATGCTATCATCGGTAAATTTATTCGTTTATGTATGTGATCAATATGAAGCTACTCGCCCTTCAGAATTCTCACCTTGATGAAGGCTTATGGATAATGGTTTAGTGGCATTCCAAGTATTAGGAATACTGTAATTGAATCCCATTGAGTTAGTATTTGTCTTTTTTTCTTTTTTCTTTTTTCTTTGGTGCACGCGCGTGTTTTTTCCCCGTTAAGTCATGTTACTGAAATGATACGTGATACTGACCTTAAGTTTAACATCTTTTTGTGAACAAAATATTGTCTTCAGTCTCTCCATTATGAGACCTTTGAGTCTTTGATAACCCGTCCCATTGGCTTCTTGTTTTTCTTTTTTTAAGCACTTTCTTTCATTAAACCAAGGATAATGAGCCATCAAGTGCTACAAGGATACATTAGTAAAAATATAATAATAATAAGGGGAAAAAATGTAAAAGAATAATGACCCAAAAAGGAGTTATTTGAAATTTGCTAAAAACGTTTGCTAGTTACAAGTATTGTTCCTCTCACAATTATTGCTTCCCTATATATAGTTCTGTTTGTTAATTTCTAACTTGAATTGGTTTAACACTTTTTTCTATATGGTTGTAAAAGTTCTGATTCGTGAGTTCATTGGCATGATACAAAACTTTAACTTGCTTTTGTAGGTTATGGGCTACTTCTCGCTGTGATAATTGACCGGCTACATCACTACATGAGAGAGCTCCGAGGATTGAGGAAAAGCATGGAGGCTGTAATGAAAACAAACAGATCACTCGAAGAAGCAAGAAGTGGGGGCCCAGATGATATTAAAGCAAAAGACAAAGAAATTGCTAGCCTGAACGAACAAATAAAGGCACTGAAATCTGAAACCGACGCAAGGGTGAAGGAGGCAAAGGCTGCAGAAGCTAATGCAACTGCTCTAAAGAAACAATCTGAAGGGTTTGTTCTTGAGTACGATCGATTGATGGAGGAGAACCAGAACCTTCGCAACCAGTTGAAGTCAATTGATCGTAAGTTGTCACATTCTGATGACAAGAAGACCACTTGAGTCTTGGTTTGAGTAGAGAGAACTTGGTTTGTGTCTGAATACTTTCGTATCGGTTGAGTAAAATAGAGTCAGGATGCATTAATCATTACTATACCAAAAGTAACTCATCGTTTTGAGTGTTTGTTTACAGATGGATAAGGAGATCGGTATGGATCAACTGACTCACAAAACTGAGTATCGATGCTTTTTGTGCCATTTTAGATCTCCAAATGTATAATTTGTAAGTGAAACTTTTGATGTTTTTTCTTGTTTTTTAACTGTGGGGATCTCTCTTTATTTCTCTATATTTTCTGTTTTAATTGGATGAAAGTAGATTTGATGCTTTTTGTTTATCCGTTTTTGTTCCATAAAAACCTTTATCTATTTTTGATGCGAATGGTGGTTTGTATTCAAAATGGATCTGTGTTAGTTATTACTCAGAAGTTTATTATAGAAAATGATGCACGCTTGACATTTGGCTCTGAATGCTCATGAACTTGAACTTGGTCAATGATGATCCATGAAAGGAGCCTCAAAAGACTAGTTCTCAGAGAATTCAAAAGTTTGAAGATGACTGATTTCCTCGAAATCAGCAAGTTAAGAATACCGATTATGAAATAAATAAATAAATAAAATAAGTTAACTATTTGTTCATAGTTCTTTGTGTTTGTTCCTACCTCATTATGGGTCAGGTTTGATGAATTGGGAGCTTTTTTAAGGAATCTGTTAATTGGGAGTTGACATTAGTTTTTCTTTTCCTTCTACCGAGCACTAATTCATTGTCATTTTTCAGAATTTTGGCATGCGATTATTTATGTGGAAACATACAATGGGACTCATAAGGGTTAGGATAAAACAAGAGGTTTATTGCAGATAGTCCCCCTTTAACATTGCCCAATTGCGGATAAACCCACTGTAGTTCTATTGGTGCAGATATATTCATAGTTCTTGGTGGACCCCTATACTATTTGCTCCAATTGCTGGTCTCCTCTCCAATTAGGTAGTAAGTAGATAAGATCCAATTACTCAAATCGTAGCTTTTTATTCGAATTTTAATGGATATGATATCACCACGTAGGATTCAACTATTATTTAGAAAACCATTGTTGTTTTGAAAACCACTAATATGAAAATCACTTTTTCGAATAGTGAAAATCCTCCATGGCCACATCCTATCCATTAAATTGGGAGTAAATGGCTACGACTCTAGTAATTGGACTCTCTCCAATTACCATCTAATTTGAAAATATTTGAATCCGCTATTGTTGGCATAGAAGCTCCAGTCGTTGAGGCTACTGAAGGCTGCAATGCTAGGGGAAACTATGATGGAAACCTAAGAGGGAGGAACTGCCTAAGATTTACTAGAACTACTATTATTGGTATTATTATTACTTTTATTTTTATTTTTATTAAAGATAGATATGCTTAGGTTATGGAGAGGTCTTGTGTGGGGTGGTACGTGGAGGTGTCAAATAAGTTCGTAATTCCCAAAAATTTCGTTGCTTGTTCGTCTAACAACTCAATTTTGATATGGTAATTCATTTACTGTGAAAACAATAATTTATAATATTTGGTTCATAAGTGAATAAATTTAAGCAGATATATAAGTCAATTTGCTTGCTTATTAAATACTCATTTAGAATTGGTTGCTTATTACATGTATTATATTATTAAAAAATGATGTCATGTTTTTAACCAACTTATATTTTTACTTAAGTTTTATGTCAATTTTGAGAGAGTTAACTAGTGTCAGATTGGTTTTTTAACTAAATATTAAAATTACATATTTATAAACGAAAGTTAAGTTATAAGTTCAACTGATATTTAAAATATTGAACTATTTTAGAATGTTTTTGTAATCAAGTGAAAAAGTCTTATTAATTAAATGGTTCAATATTGAAATATTTCTTGATCAAACAAGGTTAGAGTTGTAAGCCTCAGATTTAGCTTATTTGCAATATGTGTTCAAAGAATAGAACATTCCAATATAATTATAGCTGCAAACTGTAAATTTGGCAAACAATTACAACAACTTCAATTCCTTATATCTCACATTTCTCTACACACAAAAAAAGATGAGATTAGGCAGCACAACCACAATTAAGTGTGGAAGTGAACGAAATAATTAACAAATAGTTCGTTAATTGTTCGTCTAAATATTTACTTATATTTAATTTAGTAACTCATTTAATGGTAGGCAAATATTTTTTAATATTCGATTCATAAAAAACGAATAAACTTTAAGCAAATATATATTCAATTTATTTAATTATCAATTATCCGTTTGCATTTTACAATTTAATCGCATTAATTTATCATATTGCAAATAGCACTATTAATCACAAACTCTTATTACCAATCCAACCCATACACTAGACAATATTCGCCATAGATTCCCAACTTTGACATGACTAGCATAATGCATGTGCTTTGCATGTGGACACGTTGTTGTATTTAATATTATATTAATTATTAAATTATATATAAACATTATACAAAGTTATTTAATTGCATTATGATTAAAACATTTTAAGTTATACTATAATTAATACTTATACTATTATTAACATACATTTAATAGTTATTTAAATTAGCTTATTATTATATTATTAAATAATTTATTTAGGAGTATAATTATTAAATAATAATGTAATCATTAGTTTAAGTAACACTATTGATATAATTAAACCTTTTATATAATTAAATATTTATGTTATGGACATATTTTATTACAATACTTATTAAATAATGACAATAGTTTTTAATATTATATGACTTTATGTTGTAAAGAATATTATATTGCTCAATAATTAATATCATCTTAGTAATAAAAAATTGGATGACATAAATTAAAAATACTATTATTTAAGAAAAGTACTTTATATAAAAATATTGGATCCTTGAAATTTATGAGACATTTACTTTCCAACAAAAAGTGAATGACTCATAGATTTCAAAAATCCAATATTTTTATATAAAGTAACTTTTCTAAATAAAAGTATATTTAATTTATAATGTCCAATTCTTATTACTAATATGATATTATAATATCGAAAAGGGTGATATTTCTTGCATTATAAAGAATCAACCCCTATTTATGCAATTATTAATAACTATAATATGTAGAATATTTTAGTAAATAAATAATTTTACTATTTCATTACAATTAATAAATCTTTTTGTTGTAATATACTAAAGAAATGAAATAAGAGACAAGAGACAAGAGAAGAAGAGAAATTGTAATCTTTATTCCACTCAATTCCATTTCCATACATCGTACAATTTATAGATACATGATGGAATACAAAAGGACATGAAATTAATATTATAGATACATGATGGAATACAAAAGGACATGAAATTAATAGTCCACATACAAAGTAATGTCCACATACATTTTGTCTTTTAGATATCAACAAAATATCTTTTAGATTTCAACACTCCCCCTTGGACATTACTACCTCGCTAGAAAAACCCAGTGGGATAAAAACTAGTCGAGGAAAAGAGTACACGACATTAGTAGATTCTTGTTGCATTAGTTGCCTCATTAAAAACCTTTAACTAAGAAAACCCTGTGGGACAAAACTTAGCAAAGGGAAAAAGAGTACAACTATAGATCTTCGGGACCCAAACTTGTGTTGCATTAGTTGCCTCATTAAAAACCTTTAGCTAAGAAAACCCTGTAGGACAAAACTTAGCAAAAGGAAAAAAGAGTATAACTATAGTCTTTCAAGGCACAATCTTCGGGATTACGTTAAAAATTCGCTCCCCTGATGATGACAATCTTCTGAGTCTATGCTAAGAAAAACCCAGTGGGACAAAACTTAGCGAAAATGAGCAAATTATGATAATAGACCTTCAGGGCCTAATCTTCAGGATTATTCTTTAAGAATTTGCTCCCCCTGAAGAAGATAGTCTTCCAAGTCTATGCATATTGTGAACATATTTCTCATAAGTTGACGTAGGCATAGATTTAGTGAACAAATCTGCAAGATTGTCACTTGAGCGAACTTTTTCGATGGTGATTTCGCCATTCTTTTGGAGCTCATGTGGATAAAAGAATTTTGGCGCAATATGTTTCGTCATGGTTCCTTTTACATATCAACTGCTCATTTGTGCAACACAAGCTCCATTGTCCTCATAAAGGACAGTGAGGGTAATATCATCTTTCTCTAGACCACACGAGCCACAAATATGTCGTATCAACGATCTTAATCATACACATTCTCATGAGGCCTCATATAAAATGATAATCTTTGAGTGGTTAGAAGAAGTAGTCACCATGGTCTGCTTAACAGACCTCTAAGAAACGACAGTACCACCACAGAGAAAAATATAACCAGTCTGGGATCTGGCGTTATGGGGATCAGACATGTAGCTAGCGTCCTAATAGCCCACCAATGTCATATCTTGGTTTCAAACTTGTGTTGTATTAGTTGCCTCATTAAAAACCTTTAGCTAAGAAAACCCTATGAGACAAAACTTAGTAAAGGGAAAAAGAGTACAACTATAGTCCTTCAAGGCATAAATCTTCGGGATTACGTTAAAAATTCGCTCCCCTGATGATGACAATCTTCTGAGTCTATGCTAAGAAAAACCCAGTGGGACAAAACTTAGCGAAAATGAGCAAATTATGATAATAGACCTTCAGGGCCTAATCTTCAGGATTATTCTTTAAGAATTTGCTCCCCCTGAAGAAGACAGTCTTTCAAGTCTATGCATATTGTGAACATATTTCTCATAAGTTAATGTAGACAGAGATTTAGTGAACAAATCTACAAGATTGTCACTTGAACGAACTTTTTCGATGGTGATTTCGTCATTCTTTTGGAGCTCATGTGGATAAAAGAATTTTGGCGTAATATATTTTGTCATAGTTCCTTTTACATATCCACTGCTCATTTGTGCAACACAAGCTGCATTGTCCTCATAAAGGATAGTGGGGGGAATATCATCTTTCGCTAGACCACACGAGCCACATATCAACGATCTTAATCATACACATTCTCGTGAGGCCTCATATAAAGCGATAATCTCTGAGTGGTTTGAAGAAGTAGTCACCATGGTCTGCTTAACAGACCTCTAAGAAACGACAGTACCACCACAGAGAAAAATATAACCAGTCTGGGATCTGGCGTTATGGGGATCAGACATGTAGCTAGCGTCCTAATAGCCCACCAATGTCATATCTTGGTTTCTTTTATAGAATAGTCCAAGATCTTTTGTACCTTAAAGATAGCGAAGGAAATGTTTAACGCCATTTCATTACCTCCTTATAGGATAAGCACTATACCTTACTAGCAAGTTCACCGCAAATGCAATATCAGGCCTGGTGCAATTTGCGAGATAAAGAAG